AAAAGAAAAAAGCCAGAAGTGGCTCTGTGGCTCAAGTGGTAGAGCGCTAGCCTTGAGCTGAAGAGCTGAGGGACAGCGCCCAGACCCAGAGTTCAGGCCCCATGACCCCACCCCCCAAAAAAAATCATGAAAGGGAGAAGGTGCTGGTCCTGGGGCTTCAACTCAGGGAAAAGGCACTGTTCCTGAGCATTTTTTGCTCAAGGCTAGTGCTGTATCATTTGAGTCACAGCTCTACTTCCATTTTTATTGACTCTTAGTTGGAAATAAGATTCTCATGGACTTTTCTGCCCAGGCTGGTGTTGAACCATAACCCTCAGAACTCAGTTTACTGAGTAGCTAGGATTATCGGTACCAGTGCCCGGCACATTGGTTATTTTCACGTCAGAGTCTCAATATCCTCCTCTTGTGCCTCCCCTTATTGTACAGGCCATGGTGCCCTATGAAATGCTTTATTCCGCAAAGTAAGAAAGGGAGTTGAAAGTTTACATAGGGAAAGCCTGCTAATAATCAAGCATGGAATTTAGGACAAGTAAGGTGATTGGTTAGTGAGGAATTGCGGGGCGTCTACGGGGTGTTGGGATGTCCATGTGAGAAGCCAGGGTCCTGTGGTCAGGATACGCTAGAGAGGTGCCTGACACCCCGTGCAAGTGTGCTAAGGACTATCACCGCCCCAGGAGGAAGACATAAGCAACTGTTTCCACGGAGGTGATGGTGTGTATGCAGGATACGAGTGTAGAGATTTCTGGAAGCAGGGACTTGAAGAAGGGATTGGACCGCTATGCAACACAATGTAATTTAAATACAGACTTCAGTTCCCAGAGACGAGCAGTCCTAGAGAGCCATAGAGAAAGCTCAGAGGCGCCTTTGCAGGATTTCCTCTGGACCAGGGTTCTCAGCAGATCAGAAAGGCCCCTTGGTAGCCAGAGCTAGCGGAGAGCAGCGGTTGGCGAGCGCTGGCGCCGGGCGGGTGTCGGGGGCAGAGCTGTGTGGACTAGGGGACTCAGAGCGCGTGGCGCACAGCGCGTGGCGCACTCGCCGCTCCTGTCTCCTCTTTCCCGGGGACACGCTGGTGTCCTGGTGGTGATCCCCACACCGTCTGCCTCCATTCATTTCTCCCGCCCTGGCCACGCTCTCGGGCACTGGGTGAAGTTCGCTAAGCTTAAGCCCATGGAGCCCGGGATTCTGGAGACTCCGAGTCTGCGCTTGGCAAACAAACGTGCGCTCCACGCCAGCTGCACTTTCTTTCTTGGGAGCAAGAGACCAGCGCCCCCACTGGTGCATCTGACCCCTGCGCAGCTCTGCCAGCTGCCGATTGGACGGATCTGGACGGGGTCTGGAGGGGTGGACCCGCCCAGTGGGTATCCGGTGTCCTCCAGGCGGCCTCTCCTCAGAGGCTGGGCTACTTCTTGGAGGCGCAGCGCAGGCGACGGCTCCCCTTTGGCTGGGCTGCCTGGGAGCTGCGCGCTTGCCGGGTGGGTGTCTGGGTCCGGTGCTCCTGCTCCCTCGTTGTTTGCCGGTGCGCTCCGTGCTCCAGGGGCTGCCCAGCCATGCTGTGCTGCCTGCTGGTGAGGGCCAGCAACCTCCCCAGTGTGAAGAAGGACCGCAGCGACCCTGTCGCCAGCCTGACTTTCCGAGGTGAGAGCCCCGGGGGACCGCCGCGCCCACACTCGGTCTGGTGCCACCCAACTTTGAGCTCACTGCCCGCTCTGTACCCAGACTGGGAAACTAACCCCAAACCAGCAGTTTCTTCCGTCAGCAGGATCAGAAATCCCACTCTGTGATTGGCAAGAATGAAACACAGTTCAATAAAGGTTATAGGCTTTGGAAAACTGAAAGTGCCATTAATATGTCAGTAATTACCACTTTACTAGAATGATTTCGGAAGGAAAATGTCCCCACTCTTACTGAGCAGTGGGCATAAGGCATGGCTGGAAGATGTGTGTGGGAGGTAGAGAGGAATCAAGGCCACTTGACTGAGTATGTGTTTTGAAAGTGGTGTGTGTTCTGCCTATCCATCCATCATCCATCCATCCGTCTGTCCATCTGTCTATCCATCCATCCATCCACCCACCCACCCACTAGTTCAGTAATTTATCGAACACTAGCCATATTGAATTCACCATATATGTCTCAACCAGAAATAAGAGGAACAGAATAGGATGAATAGACCTTAAAAAAGGAGGCTTGAAGGGTGTTTAAGGGGTTTGTTTTTCTAAATTCAAGGAGCTAATTTTCTATATATGGTGCTTAGACTGGAGAGGGTCTTTCCCTGGGATAGCAAAGCTATCACACCCTCTTCTACTCCCCAGGCTCCTTGGCCACCACTTCAGGCAGAGATTCCCATGAAAGAAGTGTCTCAGGAGGGGAAAGGGAAGAGGAAGGATCTGTCAAAATTGAGAGAAGGAACAATAGCTGTGAGTCAGGACGCTAATTCTGCGGAGAAAGATAAGGAAAGGAAAGAGGGTTTCCTCTTAGTAGGACCTATATTCTGTGGCTTTGTGAAATTTTTTTTAATATGTGTTGCAAAAGATGGTGAACTATAGGGGAGTGAGTGACAGTTTTTCATGAAGGTTGAAGGCTAGGGGGACATCAAGGGGACTTCTTGGTCACATTATCTCTGTGGCATTCCCTTCCCCCCAACACACAAATACATAATAACGATAGATAGATGACAGTCAATTTAGCAGAGTGAGTTCTAGGTATAATTTCCATTCTTTGTTTTAGGAGGATTTATAAAACTATTCCTTTTTTTGAAAGATGTGGTTTGAAACATTTTAGACAATGTTGCTATTTCCATTGATTATTGACTTGCCAGGTAGTTCATAGTGCAAGAACAATTTTAAGACTGGAATCTTATGTCTCCCTGTTTTTCAGATGCTGCCCGGTCCTCCCACTGTTACAAAAGTTGTGGAGCAGTGCTGGGATATGGCTCAGTGGTAGAGCACTTTTTTGGTACTAGTATAGGCTTTGAACTCAGTGCTTAGGTGCTGTCTCTTAACTTTTTCACCTAAGGCTGGTGTTTTACCACTTGAACCACAGCTCCATTTTTGGCTTTTTGCTGGTTAATTGGAGACAAGAGTCTTATGGACTTTTCTGCTTGGGCTGGCTTCAAAGCACAATCCTCAGCCCTCAGCTTCCTGAGATCTAGCTAGGATTACAGAAGTGAGCCACTAACACCCAACAGTAGTAAAACACTGTGTAATATGCACAAAGCCATAGGTTCTATCACACACACACACACACACACACACACACACACACACACACACACATAGAGTAAATGAATGAATGAATATAAATTGTAGGCCCATTATGATCAGAAGAAATCCCCAGAGGACATTGAACCCCAGGGACCTTGTCAGCCCGGGATGCCTGGGTGCCTGGATACCTCGAAACTCCTTTGAGCCTATTCCTGACTCTCTTTGGTTCAGCAACAGTCCAGGGGTGGCTACTAAATGCCTTATTCTGCCTATAAGAAACCAGAAAGTTGGAGAAGTTACACCATGTGTCCATGTCAGTGATCACAGCAGGGAGTGATGACCAGAGCTAGGAGTGGCACTGCCCTCGAGTCAGAGAGGTGACTAAATCTGTTGAGGTCCCGCTTGGCGGTTGCCCTGGCCCAGATACCCTAAGCATGAGCTCCTGTTGGTCTCCCTCACACTCTCTGTCTCCACCCTATGATATAATATAACATAGCATTTCTGACCATTCAAAGTCCATTTGACTTTCAAAGCCCTCCAGTTTTACCACCTTTTCTGCAAAGGCACCTAGGATTCCCCTGGGTGATGTTAGTCTTCACTCTGGATGTAATAGCACCTTGTCAGGTCTGCTAGCACACTCATCCCAGCTGGCCTGTGCTCAGTCTTCTACTCCACATAGGATGCAGGGATTCATTGAGAGCTGGGCCCTGTCTTGTTTATTCATTGACATGTCCCAGTGCTCAGCACAAGTAGACTCTATGTCTTTTCTGGTCTGGTCTCTAGCATCTTCCAGAAACTTCCTTTAGTCTAAGGGTGTGTTCTTCCCACTTGACTATGACCCAGAGTCCTGGAAAGTTCATTTGCAAAACACACTTGAGTCTTGTTGATACTTTTAGAAGGCCCATTGCCAGCCTCCCTGTCTCCAACTCTCAAGGAGCTAAGTCTCTCTTATGGGGTCCAGTCTTGGGTGCTTCTGACAAATCTCCCAGTGTTTTGGATACAGAGTCAGAGTTGAGAAGCCCTGAGCCCACCCTGCTCAGGGGGACAGTGGCCTGGTACAGAGAAGCCAGCTCACACTTTGTTTGCTTCCAGCTTGTTGCCTGAAATGCATGGGCCTGGGCTTGCCTCACTTTCCTTGCAGTTGTTCCTGGGCATTCCAGCCACAGATGAAATTTCAGGACCTGCTGCCCAAAATAGACTATGATGAGCTTTGAGAGCCTTTGGATTCTGAGGCTACTCATTGGCTTCCCCATTTAAGGACCTCAGGATAGAGCTAATAATGAGTGCTGTTCGTGGCATTGTTCTTATATTAATTAATTAATTAAATGAAGATTTCATGTGATTACCAGTTAGTTGTACTCTGAGGAAGAAAATCACTCCCAATTGAGAACCACCATATGCCAGCATACATTTATGTTTATATGCACTTGTGTACTAAATTAAGTTAATAAAAGGTGTTTTTCTTTTTAAATAATAGGAATAAAAGGATGTTGGAGGAAAGACATCAGATTGTTAAGAGGTTAATTCAAGTGGCTGGACTTAGGGTTTACTGTACTTTTGTCTCATGCTTGTCTCTGTCATTCTTACAGTGACTACATACTATGTTTTTTAAAATGGCATTGGTAGATCTTTTTGATGGATCATTAATGTGAATGAGCAGCTTAAGCTTCATTTCCTGTAACATTAGATAATCTTTGCCTCCTCTTCTGTCCTTACCGTTTCCCATCCTGTAACACAATTATTTATAAGCCTCTATTCATGCATTTGGTTCATTGGACAAATATTTATTGCATATCTACTACACTCCTGGTATTGTGCAAGAGGTAAAAGAAATGAGGTAAAGGGCCCCCAAATCTTGCTACTTGAATCAACTTGTTAACAATCTAATGTCTTTTATCTAAGATTTTTCCCCTTCCCATTTTTTTTTTGTTGTTGTTGCTGTCCTGGGGTTTGAACTCAGGAGGTTTTTTTTTTTTTTTTTTGCTCAAAGCTAGTGCTCTATGAGTTGAGCCACAGCTCCACTTTTGGCTTTTCTTTTGGTAGTTAAGTAGAGATAGGACTCTCACAGACTTTCCTGACTAGACTGGCTTCAAACCTTGATGCTCGGATCTTAGCCTCTTGAGTGGATAGGATTTATGAAGTGAGCCTTCAGTGCCTGGCTTTAAGATTCTTTTTTTTTTTTTACAAAGAATTTCAGTTATATTTTTATTGGCTATATTAGTTATACAGGGGAATATTCAGTGTTATACTTCCAACATGTTCACAGTGTATTCTAGTCAATCTCACTCCCTTTATCATACTCCATATCCCTCTCCACAAATTATAATTCCCGTTGAGTTTCCTTGTTTCATTTTCTTAGTTGCAAATTGACAGTTTTCAACTTCCTTTATCCTTCCTACTAGCTCAACCCCCTCCCAATGGTTCCCATTCACCTACAGAGTCTACACCCCCCTCATTGATCATCAGATTTCATTGAGTTTCTCTGTGCTGCCCTCAAACATGCTTGTAATAATATATTACAAAGTTTTCATTCCTTTCTTTTTCCGTCCTTTCCTCTTATCTTGCTTCTATTTTTATCATATAAGTAATTATGGATATGGATGTAGATATATTTATGTACACACCCATGAATATGTATATATTTTAGTTCTAGCTTCTACATATAAATGAAAACATACAATATTTTATTTTTTGATCTTGTCTTATCTTGTCCAATATATGTCCTCTAGTTGCATTAATTTTCCTGCAAATAATATAATTTCATTTTCCTTTGGAGATAATTTTTCTTTGACTGTGTAATATTCCATGGTTTTCTATATATATATAAATATATATATATGTCATATTGGCAAGATTTTGGGGCCCTTTACTTTTACCTTATTTCTTTCTTTATCACTGCTTACAGATTATACATATATATGTATATAATATGTGAATATGTATTTATAATATGCATACAAAATATATACATATATGCATATATGTATATAATTATATACAGTTGTATATAATGTATATGTATATAATAATATAATGGATATATAATGAAGTGAAGTAGATTGTCCCTTCACAGGAGCTAGACTCATGTTTTCTCCTTTCAGCTGCTGCTGTGTTCTGTCTATCTGTCTATCCTTGAATTCCTGTAACTTTCTTTATGTTATGGGTACTCCAGTTAGGAGTTAGGAGAGTGTTCCATGCAGGGAAAGCCCTTAGTAATATCTATGGGGTAGATGAGAAATTACTTTGAGGCTACCTGCAGGATCTGAAGGTCTTCTGCAGCTTCTGAGCACCAAGTTCTGTCACTTGATAAAAAGCTGTGTCTGTCTGTCCTTTTCTCTCAGAGTCCAAAACACTGCATCTTCCCTCTTGCTCTTGGCTCTCTAGGTGGGCACGAGCAGCCACCCATATGCTTTGTCAGAAGCCATCCTCTCCCCT